GGGGGGGGGGGGGGGAGTAGGGTTTAGGGTTTAGGGTTGATAGGTTTAGGGTTTAGGGTTTAGGGTTTAGGGTTTAGGGTTTAGGGTTTAGGGTTTAGGGTTTAGGGTTTAGGGTTTAGGGTTTAGGGGCTTAGGGTTTAGGGATTTAGGGTCCTAAGCCCGGCACCCCTAAACCGCTACACCCCTAAACCCTAAACCCTTAACCCTTAACCCTTAGCCCTGACCACCTAAATCCCTAAACCCCTAAACCCCTAAACCCCTAAACCCCTAAACCCCTAAACCCATAAACCCCTAAACCCCTAAACCCCTAAACCCCTAAACCCCTAAACCCTAAACCCGAAACCCTAAACCCTAAACCCTAAACTCTACCTGCGCCAAGCATCGCCACAAGGCCTCGGCCACCTTGCGTTTGGAGTCGAAGCCTGCTGGCTTTAGGGTTTAGGGTTTAGGGTTTCGGGTTTAGGGTTGAATTTAGGGTTTAGGGTTTAGGGTTTAGGGTCAGAAGTCTTCTTGTCCACTGTGCTACTGTGTAACCTGGCGACCCTGCACGCCCTAAGTCCAGCACCGCAGCACGTCACCATTCACGCCAACATGATCAACTATTGCTTTCGAAGGGTATATAATAGGGTTTAGGGCTTAGGGTTTAGGGTTTAGGGTTTAGGGTTTAGGGTTTAGGGTTTAGGGTTTAGGGTTTAGGGTTTAGGGTTTAGGGTTTAGGGCTTAGGGTTTAGGGTTTAGGGTTTAGGGTTTAATTCGGGTTTCGGGTTGCGTTTCTCAAGGCCAAGAGAGCCTCCTTTCAGGAGGTTGTTGTAGTGCTCCGGGCTGATGATGACCAGGGCCTCCACGCGAATGGCTTGGAGGGAGCAGGGTTTGGGGTTTAGGGTTTAGGGTTTAGGGTTTAGGGTTTAGGGTTTAGGGTTTAGGGTTTCGGGCCACCCCCAAAGCCCCAACGCAAAACCGAAGGCAGCTAGCGCAACATGCGGCCACGTGTGGCTTGGCTGCCACAGTTGGGGACCTCAGCTTTGAAGCCCGAAACGCACATCTCCAGGTGCTTAGGGTTTCAGGGATTAGGGTTTCTGGTTCGGGGTTTCTTGCTGAAGGAAAAGGAGCGCGTTGCCACAAGCATCAAGGTCTTTGCCCCTCTTCGCATGCTGCTTTAAGGCCCCAACCACGCTCAAGCCTGTGCCCGACACCAGAATTAGTAGACAAAACCTGCCATGCCTTCCAACGATGAGCGAGCACCGTGACACCACAATCCCATCAAACAGAATCCTAGCCACCCTAAAACCCCAAGCCCCCAACACCCTAAAACCCCAAAACCCCCAAACACACAAAAACACCCCAAAAGACCGAAGAAACACCCAAAAGCCCCCAAAACCCCCAAAAAAAACCAAAACCCCAAAACCCCCAAAAAAAACCCAACACACCCCAAAAACACCCCAAAAACATGCCCCTTCGCCTGGTTCACCAAGGGAATCTGAGGGGCGTAGGCCATGGACAGGAGACCGCCGAGGCGTTGGATGAGTTCCTTGAGGTTTGCTGATTCACGGTTGGGACGGTATTAGAAATGTTAGTGTTTATCCCCTATTGAGTTTAAGCACCCTGAAAATGTTGCCCCACTATGACAAAGTTTGAGGCGCAGAGGGGGCACAAGGTGGGGTTTCTTCGGGTTCAGGGGTTTAGGGTTTGGGTTTAGGGTTCGGGGTTAAGGGTTTCAAGGTTTTTGGGTGTAGGGTGAAGGTGCGAGGGCACGCTGGCAGCCTCACTTAGATAACTCCCGAAATGTGCGGTCTACAGCTACTCTGTGAGCTTGCAGATAAGAGAAAGGGAACTGCGGGGCCTGTGAGGAAGGGGGTCGATTTGGCCTTTACAAAAACTCATGCCGTGCTATGCGTGCACACTGCCTCCGTCCACTGGACTCTGCGCCTACCTTGCCTGTAGCCTGCCCCGGGCTTTCCGCCTCTGTACTGAAAACTTGGGGTGGAGCAACCGTTCCGCTCGATGGAGTGAGGAGGGGATCTTAAAATGTGTCCGAAGAGTTTCAGCTGTGCCTGTGTGAATGTGTTGTGTGAGGGGGCCTGCTCGGTGATGGACTTCGGTGTAGCACGTGCTTCTAATGTGGAGGATTTTGCTCTTCGCCTCTGGACACCCCAAACCTCAAACGCACACCTCCAGCCCTTAAGCCCCCCAGACCCTCAAAAACCCTCAGCCAATAAGCCCTTAAGCCCTGAGCCCCACCTGGGGCGTCGAAGCAGTGTCCACCAGCCTCGGACGCAACCAAGGACAGCGAGTCTCTCACAACGATTCGGGCACTGTCAGCTACCTCCGATGATGCCAAAGCCCAAACCCCTCTCAACCCCCCCTAAGCGTTGCCGAAACCCCAGAGCTTGATCCCCTAGACGCCGTAGAAACCCTGCATTCCCGACCCTGCCGCCACCAAAAATGGCTGGGAGCTGCGTCGGCCCCCCTGCACATGCCAGAACCGTCACGGCGTCCTCCTGGCATCTTCGTGCCTACTGTTGGGCTTGGGATTCAAGGTTTGGGGCTTGGGTTTCCGTGTTCGTGCTACTTAGGTCTGGGCATGAGTTGAAGGGTAGTTACATGGTCCCTTAGTATGGGTGTGCCCTGAAAAGGGGACCCCTTGTTACCACCCGATACAAAATTTAAGGAGGCCCTTACATCAGAACCCTGTACAGGAGGCAAGGGACCATATTAAGGGCCCATGAAACTACCCTTAGACATGAAGGGTTTAGCGTTTAGGGTTGAGGGTTTAGGGTTCCCCCCCCCACCACCCCTCCCAGCCCCCCACCACCCCCCCCCACCCCCCGGCTCCAAGTTCAACTTGGCAGTCCCTCCCAACCCTGAACCTGCCACCTTATGACCATGGGGCCCCCACTGTGGATTGTTGGGTCCTCCCCGGTTTCGGCTTTCGGCTTAGTACACAAATAAATAACAAACAACCGTATTTGCCGTCTAGGGTAGGCAGGAGCGGTTGCCTACACACAATAACAGATCGAGTGCCTAAACCACCACTGCCGGTAGGAGCGGAGGGGCATCGTTGCTCAGCCAAAAGGTTTCCGAGAAGAACCGCTCCAAGCTGTAGCCCAGGAGTGGATGCGGGATGTGCGCATAGATGTTCTCCTCCGGTACTCCTCTTGCCGACGTCACGTTCTGTCCCGGCATCTGGTCATACAGAAGAGCACAGTCCGTGAACGAGATGCCCGCTGATCACGACCGTGACCTATCGCACCACTCAACAACAAGGCTGAAGAACTTGTCTCGTAATAGTTCGTTCTGCATGCTGTAACCAGTCTTCGTTAGTGCGTCCGCCAGCCCTTGACATCGACCAGCTGAAGTCGCGACAGCAATCGGCTCTTGTTCGCCTGGCTCTGCATTTTCCCGAGCATGACCCCTGCTGGCGCCAGCCCCGCGGGGCATATGTCCGCAAGCCGCATCCTCACACTCATTAGAAGATGCGTGGCAGAATTGTTCATAGTTTCCAGCAAGTTCTGGACAACGACCAAGACATCATCGTCGCTGGTTAGCTTTGCGTTTCCCATCAGTCTGAAAAGACCCTCTAGCTGCAGGAAGAGGCGCTTGCAGCGAGCAAGTGTTCCTTGGGGCGGAACACCTTTGTGAAGCGCGCAAGCTCCAAGAACGAAAAAATGTAAGTTGCCATCGAGGCATCGCAAAAATTGTTCTCCCTCTTTAATCCACAGAAGCACTACCAGTTCTCGTAGATGGAGGTCAGTCAGTCGAAGTCTGTAGACCGTGATGGCACCTGTTACAACTCTGACTAAGCTCTCCTCCATTCCAGAAATTTCCGCAAGATGATCTGTCGTATTCGTGACACTTTGGAGGGAATGCTTGGTTCGTCGACTAGACGAGGCACTTCCGCCAAGCAAACGTCAGCGGCCTCGTAAAGGCTGTTGAAGAATCTCGAAAGTTGCTCATGGCGCTGTCTGCGCCAGGCAGCAAACGTCTCTTTCTAGCCTTCTGCAATCTAGAATCGCTTTCCCCTGTTTCCAGATCGAGAGCACCTTCCACATGAAGTTGCAGTTCGTCTTCAAATTCGTCCGGCGCTTGAAAAGTGTTCTCCCTGGCTACCAAGCGTGCGTCTGCCCGGCTCTCAGCATCTTCGAGTACTTCCTGGCCAACCTGAGGGAAAAAATCTGCTGAAGCCTGGCTTGCGCCTCCCCAGGGCGAAACCATGTTTTTCAAGGTTCGGGGGGGGGGGGGGGGGTACCGGAAGCCGAAAACCATCGCTTCTCACGTGGCTTCGTGGGCCTCCAGGCCCATGGCCCAAAGACCTAGCTGATGCTCATGATGCTTCTTCTGGGGTGGTTCTCAAGAGGAGGAAACCTCGTAAATACCGAGTGGTTTTTGGGCTCCGCGCAAAAAAACACCCCTAAGCTCGCTCATTTTACGTGTGGGAACGGCTTCACGCCACCCGAAAAGCAAGACCCCGAATGCCCTTAAGGGCATTCGGGGTCTTGTTTTCGGTGTTTCGTGGGCACGCCAGCGTTCAAGCACATGGAATCAGCGTGTTTAGGGGGGTTTTGGATGGCCTGGGGGAGGCCGCTGATGCTCATGATGCTCCTTTTCCTGGGTCCTAAAAGGCTTCCCAAGCAAAAACAAGCGTGTTTACAGTGTTTTCTGAATGCTTTTCGAAGGCAAAACGCGTGTTCAGGATGTCTTAGGGCTCTCTCAAATAACCCCGATGATGCTCCTGATGCGGGGGCGCGCACGCGTGGGCCAAGGCAAGAGAAAGAGAGACATAGAGAAGGAGAGGAAGAGAGAAAGAGAGAAAGAGAGAAAGAGAGAAAGAGAGAAAGAGAGAAAGAGAGAAAGAGAGAAAGAGAGAAAGAGAGAAAGAGAGAAAGAGAGAGAGAGAAAGAGAGAAAGAGAGAAAGAGAGAAAGAGAGAAAGAGAGAAAGAGAGAAAGAGAGAAAGAGAGAAAGAGAGAAAGAGAGAAAGAGAGAAAGAGAGAACATAGAGAGAAAGAGAGAAAGAGAGAACATAGAGAGGGAGAGAGATAAAGAAAAAACAAAAAGAGAGAGAGAGAGAGAGGAAGACCAACAGCAACAGAAAGAAAAGAGAAAGAGAGCGGTGAAGGCGAAAGAAAAAGGTGAACGTGACGAGAAAAACAGAGAGAGAGAGGGAGAGGGTGAGGGAGAGAGAGAAAGAGAAAGGAAAAGAAACAGAGAAAGACCAACAGCAAGAGAAAGAACGGGGAGAAAGAGAAAAAGGAAGGGGAAGAGAAAAGAGAAAAGAGAAAAGAGAAAAGAGAAAAGAGAAGGTTCGAGGTTTCGTGTTCGTATTTTCGGGGGCGGGGGGCCGGCCCGTGCCGCTAGGCCTAAATTTAGGGTGTAGGGTTTAGGGTTTAGGGTTTAGGGTTTAGGGTTTAGGGTTTAGGGTTTAGGGTTTAGGGTTTAGGGCTAAAGCCCCAGATGCCTTTCAGGCTGTGTGGGGTTGGAGCTGATTTCGTTTCCACTGTGCCCCCAACTCTTGGACCCACATGCCTTCGAACTGCCCTCCAGCTTGGCTCAAGGGGTTTAGGGTTTAGGGTTTGGGGTTTAGGGTTTAGGGTTTAGGGTTTCGGGTTTGGGGTTTGGGATTTGGGGTTTGGGGTTTAGGGATTGGAGTTTGGGGTTTGGGGCTTGGGGCTTGGGGCTTGGGGTTGAAGCCTTTCACACGCTTGCAGACTTCAACGACGTTTGGCGCCAGGGTCATCAGGGAGAAGCTTAAAGCTTAAGCCCCCAGGCCCCACATATCAACAACTCAATACCCTTAACGGTCTTAAGCCTCAAGCGGGCCCATTAAACCCGAAACCACTGATCCTAAAATAATATTTGCTAAGATCAGGCCGTAAACCCTAAGCCCGAAGCCCTAAGCTCTAAACCCTAAACCCTAAACCCTAAACCCTAAACCCTAAACCCTAAACCCTAAACCCTAAACCCTAAACCCCACACCCTAAACCCCACACCCCTGAACTTCACAAAAGCTCCAACCGAAGCAAACTTTCAAGCCTCCTTCGGACTTGGGGCCCTAAACCCTAAACCCTAAACCCTAAACCCTCATCGCAGGGCTCCTCTCGCTTGGCACCACCCTTCGCACGAATGCTTGGAGGATTTCGGGCTCGCAAACCCCAAACCCTAAACCCTAAACCCTAAACCCTAGACCCTAAACCCTAAACTGCTCCAGCCTTCGGATCGACTTGAAATTCAGCCCCAAAAACCCTCAACTGGACTGCCTGACCTTAAGCCGTTCTTCCGCCAAGGAAAGGAAGCCTAAAACCCTAAACAAAAGGACAAGCAAAATCCGAAAACAAAAAACACACATCTAAGTTTTTGGGTTTGGACCAAATAAATTTTGGCGGGGTTATTTTGGTATAATTACAAAGGGACCATGGGGGAATATTATGCGTAATTATTCCGACCCCTACATTAAGGGGTCCCGGCTTAAGGGACCCTACTTGGAGAAATCGGGCATGTC